CCATCACTTGCTTAAGTAAAGTCTGCTACTTTCGATTCAGTCAGTCAGTCTCTCTCACATGCACCAAGTGGTAAGTTAACTGGAGAGATGTTTTGTCGACAATATTATTCTAGAGTACTAGGAGAAATAAATAATCAGCTCCAAGGGACAGAGCACAGGCAGACAAGCGCTATCATTAGGTGGAAAAACAGTAGCGTAGGTAAGCCCAAACTGCCAAAAATCTCAAAAATACTGTGGTAGAGTTACTTTTCACAATTACAGTGCCCTAAGTAACTTGTCTTGCCTTGGTCAAATGAAACAAAAAGGCTATCTTTGCTTTTTTTTTTTTTTTTTTTTTTAATTTCAAATACACTGAAACCTGCTGACACAGTAACATTATCAAACAGAATGAATTCACCTGAGAAAAATATCCGAATAACCACCAAAGTAGAGGCGGCTAAAGACAGCTGAATTACTCAAGCTTGAATTATCTAAATTTTGGTCTCGTTATCAGAACAAAGAAAGTGGCTGTGTTGATGAGCATTAATTATGCATACCTCTACCTGGGAGACTGGCTTGATGGAAGCCTCGCTGCAAAACTGATTCAATCCTGCTAACAAAACAAGAACCGAGACATGGGTGCCCCGATACAGACCACTTATCTCCCCAGCACATCCTACCTACGGCCAACAGAACTTTTTTATCGGGTAACGGAGGAGGGAATCCTAACGTGTAAGTGATGAGGAAGGCCCCATGCAGACTCCTGTTGGACCACCTGCGGTCACCACCGTGCCCTGTGTGTGCCCACAGGGGGTATGGGCAGCCCCCGGGCCGCCGGAGGGCCCGTCCCGGGCCGCGCTCGCTCGGGCTGCAGGCGCAGCCCTTCGACGGCCATTTCGCCCCCACCGCCCCGGCTCGGGCCGCCCTCTCCAAACCGAACTCACAGCTCCGCAGTTCCAAATCCGGCGCGGAACGCGCCTCTCTCGTGAGGCAGAGAAGGCAGCACCCCCAGCTAAGCAGAACAAGCAGTTTTCGCTCCCGTCCCTCAGCGCAGGGTAAGGGGCGAGAAGGCGCGGGCCGCAGTCAGACCGGGCCGCAGTCAGACCGGGCCCGGCGCCAGCGCGGCCGGAGGGCTCACCTTGAAATAGATCTCGTCCACCACTTCGTGGTAGGTCTTGAGCTCGTAGAGCTGCACTTTGAAGTAGGGCGACGAGAGGATGTTGGTGAGGATCATGGGGTTCAGGTTCATGGTCTTCTCGTTGCCCCACAGCGGCAGCACGTTGCCCGGCTTGCCCGAGGCCGCCGGCTTGGGGCCCCCGCCCTGCAGCGGCTGCTGCGCGGGCGGGACGGCGCCGGGAGGGTGCTGTGCCGCCTGCTGCCCCTGGCAGTTGGCGACCGCGGGGCTGTTGTTGGCCATGGCGGGCGGGCTGGGCCGGGCGGGCCGCGCACACGGAGCGGGGCCGGCGGGCGCTGCCTCAGCCCCGACAAGATGGCGGCCGGGGAAGTGACGGCGGCGCCTTCCGGGGCCGCGTCACCGGCCCGCGGGGAAAGGGCGGGGGTGCTGCGAGGCCTCGGCGCGGCCCGCGGCTCCTCCCGCCGCGCTTCCCGCCCGCGGATCGTCCCACCCTCGCCTCGGCCGCTGCCTCATGGCCCGGATACCCCCGCCGGGGAAAGCGAGGGGACCCGTGGCCCGCCGGGGACGGCAGCTGGCCGCGGCAGACGGGGTTTAGTAGATCGAGCCAGCCACGTAGCACGGTTGGGAACTGGTCCCTTGTCGTTGGTAATGAGGCCAGGGCGCAGCGGGAGCAGGAGGGGGAGCGTCGGCCGCTTCTGCTCCCACGGCAGCGGAGAAGCAAAGAAATCAGAATCGTAGAAAGGTTTAGGTTGGAAAGGACTTCGAGGATCGTCTCGTTCCAGGCTCCCTACCCTGCGCAGTGACACCTTCCTCTAGATCAGGTTGCTCAAAGCGCTATCCAACCTGGCCTTGAACACGTCCAGGGATGGGGCATCCGCACCTTCCCTACTGCGGAAGGGAAGAAATAGTGTCAGGGATGTTGGGTGTGCAGGAGCCCCGGTGTGCGATGGTGGCCAGTGTTGGTGACAAGGCCCCTCCAGCTAAAAACCGTGTCAGACACCAAGAAAACAGTAACTACACCCTGCTGCTCAGTTCCAGCACAACAGATCTTTCTGAAATCAGTAATACTACATACAACCTCAGAACAAGCAGAATTAGGTTAACACAGTTGAAAACATCTGGATTTAAAAAAATAACTACGTGTAAATACAGACAGGAAACAGAAAAAAAATCCTCCAGTTTTGCCTGCAAAAGTAAAAAAAACCCCAGCATAACTAGTTATGTGCTTTCGTGTCAAGCTTTAAACTTGAAGTATAAAAGACAATCCGCAATTTAGAAGAATTACTAAAATAGACATCAAATGACTATGCACAAACATAATTGAAAGTCCACTGAAATGACAGCAAACTGGCCATAATGTGGCAAAGTATGTTCAGCTGTACACACAGGGAAGGGCTTCCCCATTGCTCAGCATGTCAGGAAACAGGTACAGGGAGAAGCTGGTATGAAAGCATTCATGGGAATAGCGTCTCTACATATATGCTATTTAAAGCTAATTTAGAATTTTAATTTAGAAACCAGGAGATAAATACTACTGGAAGTAACATTAAAATACCTTCAGTCTTCACTACACATAGAAACCCTGAGAAACAGTAGTTTATCTTCGTTACCCTGGCCATTAAACGTACCTTAGAGCTTGTAGTATAGCAGAAAAATGTTCTTATCAGGGCCCTGGCAGTTAACAGTTTCTCTAAGCTGTCTGTTCTGCTATCTAGGCTCTTCACTCCCTTTTTCTAGGAATAACCACCGGTCTTCTTTTGGCCTTCTCTTCCCATCTCGGCTGATTTCCAAACATTTTCACAAAATCTTCATTACTTGCTTACAGGGCTCTACCATATTGATGCAGTAAATATCCATATAACAACCCCATATGAAATCAAAGAATCACAAAAACTAATTCTAAGAAAGTGTCTTTACAGCAGTGATCTTGTTCTGGAGGCAGTTAGCTAGAGTAGTAACTTTTCTTTGAACCTGAGTGGTTTTATCATTGTTTAGGGTACCTTCGAGCACTTAGGGTATCCTCCTAGCACTTCCTTAATTTATACTGCATAATCACTTCAAGACAGCCTGTGTTTCTGTTATGATTTATATTACCCAAACTGTGTTTTCATACATTTAGCTTTTTCTATTGAAATATTTAGTCAATAGGTTCCAAGCCTCAGTACTTTTTGTTCTGTATAAGATAACATTTTTGTACTTCTTATACATTCCCTTTGTGGTGGTGATGCTGAAACCTCTGATATAGTTGCAACCTGTGAATCCATTTGCTCCAAATTAGATTTTCTTCCCTCAGGCATCCCACCTGGACTTTATACTGAATACAGCCAAAACTAAAAGAAAAAAAAAACAACCCAAGCCCCAAGAACCTCCAAATGAGGTGATTTTCAGTTGCAAACTGCTAGACACTATACATAATTATAAAAGAGTTAGAGGATGGTGATTTGGGTGTAAGAGCCTAGCCTCACTTCTCATTCACACAAATTAATTCTGAATTTTTTTCAAATGGGCCAGATCTGTTGAAACTGAGGAGAGAAATACTCGTACTTAAGTCACTAAACATCCTCTGAATTTGGGTTGAGAGGAGTGGTTGTTGGCTCTTGAATTATAGATTAAACAGCATTGCTGTATGTATATTCCTATCAGCGGACTAGCGTCTCTTGGCAGCAGTGCTGCACTAGATTTCTTTTGCTATCACATTTAATTATATGCACTGCAACTTGAAAGGGAAAGTACTGGAATTGCACACAGTTGTCTTTTTCATCCCAGTTACTGAAGGAAATAAGTGTCAGCAGTTTAAAATTTCGTGATTCGTGACTTTATACTCTGAGATGCTTTTATTCCCATGTAGTCATATCATTTGTTGCTCTCTGTAAGGTACAAAACTAACAGGCTTCTCTAAAAATAACCTGCTTAATTTGTGGGCATATTGAACGAAATGCAACTTGAATATTCAGTTTGAAACAGTTTCTGTGCATGGCCAAATTGGGATATGCAGGCCTGTAAATATTAATGGGGAGAAATCCCACAAGAAAACTGGCCAGATGTTAAATATACTTCACAGTAAATGTTTAGTATAACTAAAGATCGTTAATACTACAAATTGCCTGTTTGCAATCCAAACCGATAGAAATAGCAATTCCCAGGCTGCCATACTTGCACATACTTTTCGGTGATTTCATTGGTTTTAGTGATCTCTGCCTCAGTCACCCAGGCAAGGCTGGGTCACCGCGTGTCGCGACCAGCGCGATAGCGGCTTTGCCCTGCGGGGCGTAGCAAACACATCTGCGAACACAGCAGCACTTCAAGGGAGCGGCACGAGGAGTAGTGAGATTTTTTGGAGTTTAACGTAAAAATCAGGGATACATCCCCCACCCCCTCCCCCGCGCTACCAACCACATTTTGATTACACGGAGGGAGGCTGGCTCGGGTGGGGGTCAGTACAGCAGTGCCCTGGACGCTCATGATTTATCGTCTCGCATTGAAGAGCATTAGGGAATACCTCCTGCACTAAGGGGTGGAAATGAAGAATTCCCGGCTGGCGCTCTCGGAGTTCCCCGGAGCGTGGGCGGCCACTTGTGCCAGGCGGGAGATGAGCGCCGGGAGGGAAGGTGGGAGGATAGGGCGGGAGGTGGCTGTCGGGGCCCGGCAGGGAGGGACCGGGGCTGGGGGCGGCCCGGAGCGGAGCCTGAGGACGGCTGGGGGGTCCAGGAGCCGGGGGTAGGGATGTGTGTGTGTGATGGGGATGTGTCAGAACTGGGATTAGGCCAACCCCTCCTTAACTGTAACTCGAACACCGCTGAACACAGCAAACTCTGTCATTTGGTACGTTACCACGTGCTTCAGAAAGTAAGGATTAACTTTTTTATTTTAGCATCGCCAAAATATTATGGAGGAGAACTTTCAAGAAGAAGAGTTTGCAGGAGTTGTTAAATTTACACCTCCTCTGTACAAACAGCGCTACCAGTTCGTCAAAGATTTGGTGGAGAAATACAAACCTAAGAAGGTTGGTATGTTTTGGTTTTTTAGGTTATAAATTTGAAAGTTCACACTTGGTATCTCAGGAAGACAAAACGCACAGATAACCTTTTGACCCAATTACCAAACAATTTTAGAGGAGCTGCTGTTAAAACTGAATTAGTCATAACGTGTTGTTTTTCAGGGGTGCATATAATTAATGTTACTTGATGGTAGGAGGAGAATATTTAAATGGGAGAAATGCCTTAACCTGTTTTGGAGAGTAGTGGGAATTCTGGTTTTAATTTTAAGCTGATCAATTTGGTTCAAGCTGCTTTCATCATAGTTGAGTTTTGCTTTCTAGAGTTGTTAGTTCCATATGCAGTATCAGGTTTGCCTCATCATTGACATGAATGTTCTCAGATAAGAAGTGACACCAAGAGTGTGGGATTATGTGAGGCTCACTCATCTCCCTTTGCTTAAGATCTTGTGACCCTTTTCTGTGCTGTCCCTCCCAATATGCCACAACTCTTCTTTCAATACTACTTTGAAAAGTTAAATCAATCAAATTATGTACTGTAGTGTTTGCTCTTTTCTAATATGTCCTCTCCCCTTCCTACCCCAGAAGCACTTTGCAAATCTGCAGTGTTTAACTCTGAAACTGATGCTGATACCTTAGGGGGCATGCAAGAAATTGATGAGAAATGCACCTGCAGTGCACTTAATTAATCATAATTCTGGTATCTAATAAAACTATAGTCCAGTCTATGAGGTCATGGCACTGCAATCTGCTTTTAAATGGAACATATTCACCAGTGTTGCATCTGTATTTAAATGTTTGAATTTTCTGATTTAGGATGTGGAAGGGGTGAGAGGGTAAACTTTACCTATGAGGTAAAGATAAGCTGGATAGAAACAATTCAGGATTTTCACAGGGAGAACAGCTTCAACCTTGACTGAGCCTGGGAAAGAACAGGGTGGATTGGTTTGTGTACCCAGCTATCTCTTAAGCTTGCAGAAAAGAATATCTGTTATTTGATTTTGTGGTCTGAAGATCCCCACAATTCCCCACCTAAACATTAGACTGAGCCTGTAAACTTGTTTTATGCAGATTCTTTGCTGCTAACTTGGCTGCTGGTGAGCCTGTTCTCAGAGCAGTCCAGTGAAAAGCAGTGAATGTGAAAATTGCTACAGCTTTGATACTTAAAATCATACCTTACTGTTATTCATGTGGAAAACATTTTCCAGTGTCAATGGGATGTTCTATGTGTACTTGTTTATAGGTGTAATAATAAAAGGCAAATTCTTTTTTAAAATCTTGCAGGATGTTCATATACTTTTTTTTTAAAGAATTTTGAAATCCGTGTCTATCCTGCTTGCTTCCAGTGGTAAATTAAGTTTTGGTTGTGAAATGCTTTATCATTAAAAAGTTGTATTGATGTAAATGTGGAATTTTAATTTTGTTAAAGTCTCTGAAATTACTTGGAAATATATAGCATTTACACATTGTTTAATATCTAATTTACAGGTGGCAGATTTAGGATGTGCTGACTGCAGGCTTCTCTGGATGCTGAAATTCTGCAGTTGCATTGAAGTGTTAGCTGGGCTGGATATCTCTGCAAGTGTAATGAAAGCGAAAATGTAAGCTCTTTGATTGTGGTTTAAAGTTTGTCTTGATGTAGTGGTGTGGGGGGCTGACCATGGCTGGAGGCCAGGTACTCACCAAAGCTGCTCTGTCACTCCCCTCCTCAACTGGACAGGGGAGAGAAAAATACAATGAAAGCACGCACCACTTACCATCATGGGCAAAACAGACAGGACTTGTTAAGGATCTAGATGCTGATGTTATCACTTGCTCTTTCTCAAAAATTAAGTAACCTTTTATATTTATCATTTATTGTGTATTTTGTCTAATGCAGTATTTCAGAATGAAATTTGCACATATACTTTGGTTTCTCAGTATATTTCATTTGGAGAAAATAGGTAATACGTGTGACTAAAACTTCCCCCAAAACCCTGCCAAGTGTGTCTAAATCAGACTTACTGTGTGTCTAGAGATGAACTACTATCAGAACTTACAAGTGGCTGTCCAAGGGACTTGAGAGTGTAGTGGAAATTTTTGTAAACATGAAGGACAGCTTCTGGATTAACTTCCGCTCCTTCTGTGCTATTGTAGATAGTCAGGAAAAGTGTGTGTATTGGATATTCTTTTTTTAAATCCATGTAAAATAGTTAACCTTTTTGAGATTTATGAAGTATCTGCATAGGATGTTTAGTAGTTCATTTACATGTACATTTTGCCCTAAAGTTTTTTGTGTAACATCTTATTTTTAAAACTTCTGTAGGCATACGCTGTCTCCTCTTCCTTTTGATTATTTGCAACCATCTGAAAGATCTCTGACTGTTACCTTGCATCACGGTTCAGTGGCCCATAAAGATCCTTGCATGCTTGGTTTTGACTTGGTGACATGTATCGAACTGTGAGTATTAGGCCAACACTCTATGTTTTCCTCAGTCCATTAGAGTTCAGCGTGGAATTTTGTCCATACTCCAGACAGACTTGATCAAACCTTTCAAGCAGAAGAGCAGAAGTAGAAAAGCAGCAAATAGAAGAGCTAACTTGTGCTTAAATTAGCCATACTAGTATATTCAAGTGGTGCTTGCACATGATGGGAGAAGGATACTGATGAAAAAGTGCAAAATGCAAGAAGAGATTTGGGCAGACAAAACCCCTGTGTGGCCACTTGGCCACAGTGCCATTGCTGATATTGCAGAGCTAGGTGTAAAATTACAAATTACAGATGTGGGTTTGGGGTTTTTTTTGGCTTGTTGTTAAGATTAAAGTATCATAGGGTGTTTTTAAACACAGACATCAACTTACTCTTTTCAGAATAGAACACCTGGAAGAATCAGAGCTGAAGAAGTTTCCTGAAGTGGTGTTTGGTTTCATGGCTCCAAGCATAGTTGTGATCAGTACTCCAAATTCTGAATTTAACCCCTTGCTTCCAGGAGTGGTGTTACACAGACATCCAGATCACAAGTTTGAGTGGAACCAAGCCCAGTTTCAAAGCTGGTAAGCTCACATGTGTGCTGGCTGTTCTGGGTGTGAGAAACAAATGGCATTTTCAGAGCAGTTCACATATGGAGTTTGCTCTCAGTGAAGTGTAACCTCCTGAGTTGGGGAAATGTTTCTTTGCTGGTAAGAGTAGTTAAGTTTCTGTGGGTTTTGTGTTTTATGATGGTGGTTAAGTTGGCTTGCTTTTACTGCAACTGCTCTGCAGAAAACATTGAAAACTTTTACTTACCTTTTTATGTATCTTTACTACAATTAACTCATTCGAAGTGTAAGGTATTAATTATCCTTTTTGCATATAGAAATGCCTTATAAAACCCTAAGAAATGTGCTCATTGTGTATGTGCAAAGTGCTCAGTTAGTCCAGACCTTTCTGTAAGAGTATGCAGAGTTATGAAATAACCATAGCAGCAGGGCATGTTGGATAAAATTAAGGATAGTTTAGTGGATCGTGGCACAATGAAATGCAAAACATATGTACATGACAGAGGGTTACATGAAATCTGTCTTAGTATCAGTAGGTGTAATAAAAATAAAACCAAGAGGGATATGTGTCCTGTGATAACTGTCAAGCAGCTGTGGAAGAAACTGTATCTTGGAAGTTTTGCCCCTTAAATTGTGTTGTTTCTGCCATAGACTTGAAAGTATCCAGTGACTTTTGAATATGCAGTTTTGCAAAGCTTGAAGCGTATGTTTTTCCCTACATAAGGATACTAAAACCTGCCTGCGTTATTAGGAGAGACCATTTCTATGACTTTAAGTAAATTTAGATTCTGCTTTTAGATATATGTGAATTAAAAATACTGAAATCACTGAACAAGTGGGTTTGGGTTTGGTTTTTTTTTTTTTTGAGCTGGAAACACAAAGTCTTTGTGTTGTGAAGTATAAATATTACAATAGTCTCTAAAATATATGGGATGTTAGTTTACTACTGTCTCATGGAGAATGATGCAGATAGATAGTGCCATTTTAGTTCCCTGCCCCATCCTTTTGTTCCCACTGGCTGATGTACTGCAAGACGGTTTTCATTTAGATGTCATGTACCCTGTTGTAACCTTTATTAGGTAGACTTTACTCTTTATACATTTACAACAAACCACACTTTTATTTTCTCTTTTAACTGGTCTCCTGGGGTTTTGGGGTGTGTATGTTTTTTATGGGTTCTTCTCAAATAACTTTGTTCTTGAAAAATCAGTAGGTTTTTGCTCAATTCTGATATATTTAAGTTGGTGACTAAGCAACTGTGAGCATGAACATTCTTCGCACATATTTTAGAAATAATGGTAATGTTTGGATGCCTCAGTTACTGATACTAAGTGATTCAGACTGTGGTAGGCACATGATTACAGCTCTGATAGAGCAAGTGTTGACAGCGCTTGTCTTCAGGCGTGTGAGTATTGGTAGGGAAATGGTGCTCAAGCATTCGCAGGCTCAGGGTCTTGCTTCTCCTTGAGACTGCATCTTTATCACAAAAGATGAATATTTCATACGATTGGAATAATTTTGTCTTTCTTAGGGCTCTAGAGGCTGCTAGATGCTATGATTACTCAGTGGAATTTACTGGTGTAGGGCACCCACCAAAAGGAATGGAGAATATTGGGTTTTGTACCCAAATAGGTGTGTTTGTTAGAAAACATCCTCAAACTGGTGGATCTGTTCAGTATGACAAACCCACTGAAGCAGTTTATGAAACAGTAAGTATTGTTTTCTTTCTTTGGAAGTATGAATAAATAGTAAAATTGTCTATGACTGCCCTTGAAAGTGTTGTTGCTACGGACTGCTATTGCCATCCAGTCTTAGCACTGATTGTTACACACCATCAGATCAAGAGGGTCTCATTCTACATGTTTCTAATTGTTTCTAAAGGCCTTTAACTTCTAGAATATTTGCTAAACAGCACTATGGATAATCATTCCCAACACACTCTTTTTCTTAGAACGAAGAGTTTCGATTCTGCCAGGTATACTATTTTTATAGTTTTGCCTCCAGTCATTCATTGCATTTATTGTGCAGTTGCTGTCAATTACACATATTTTGCAGATTCATAAAAAATAAAAAGCAAAAAAAGCATTTCTGTCTAAATGCCTTGTGGTATAAATCAAATGTTTTCAAAGATAACATGAAGTAATAATGCAAAAATAAATATACTGTTTGGGTTTTTTTCAATTTTCTGAGGCCTTATTTGTTTCAGTGAGCATACATATTCAGTTCTTTGTGCAAAAATATATATGTATCTTCAAATGACTTGTGACCTGAACTGAAACACAAATATATCTTCTGTAGTTTCCAAGCTATAAAAACATTTGTAATTTCTGTATTTGAAATGTGTAGACATGTGAAATGTCACCTGTCATCTACTGCCATTCATAAAATCATGAAGTGCTCTGTAAGGCTCAGCAAACTCGGAAATATGTCCAGGTGACGGACATGCACTAGAAATTGCTTTCCTTATCTCCTGTTACAGGGTCATTAAGGAGGGAGTTTTGACACTGATATCCTTTGGGTTTAAACAAGAGTGTTAATCTAATGCATTTCTTATCAAACTAATTTTTATTATGTAACTAATTTATGGGAATAAATCAATATTTCAGGATGCAATTGAAAAGTCGGAAGTAATTTTAGTGGAATTCATTGGTACCCTGTTGGTATAAAGCACTTCCTGGTAAGCTGATGGGAAGGAGTTTGCCTTGTTTCCTTAATTGCCTCAGAGTAGAGCTCAGTGCAGAACACACAAGTTCACAGATTTTGATGTCACAATTTATTTTTAGCATCCCCTGCAGCTGTGAAAGCATATTTAATGTTTTATTCTGAAAAGAGAACAAATGACATGCTCTAGTCCTGGTTTCCAGATGACAGTTCAGAAGTGGTTTAGAACTGTCACCAGCACCTCATCATGAGTAATGTGAAAAGTAAGAGAAATACTAAAAAGAACTAAGGAATTGCAGGACTTCCCCTTGCCCATTCTACAAGTGTAGCTTCCAGGTATAAGCCTGGTTTTTTGGGTTGTTTGTTTGTTTTTAATTCCATTAACTGCCATTGTAGTTGTAATACATAAAATCAGCACATATTGCCTAGTTTTTGATATCTTATTTTAATAAGCTAAACAGGTTTGAATAAAAAATGATGTTCACATTTTAGAAGGTTTTTTTGACAGCAAATGTTAAACTCTGACCCTGTGATAGTGATAAACATTTTATGTGTTCTTGTATGTTGTAAAGGTCTTCAAAGCAGTGTATCCAAGTCTGAAAGATGAGAAGTACTTACGGAATGCAGTTGTCAGTGAAGTTCTTTTCATAGCCCAAAACATTAAGCACCACTTAATGCCAAAACATGAGGAGTATGATGATGACCCTGAAAGAGAATCTGAATTCCAGCCTTCAGTGGACTGTTTTTCAGACTATCTTGGAAAACTGGTTGTTGATAAAACCATGGAACCATTTGTCAATGGAAATGAGGTCTATATACCTCTTGCAACAATCTTTTCTTTTCCCAAAGTGAATCAACTGTGTGGTACCTTTGAGAAGTTATGCAAACTCATTGCTGGCAAGGTCCCACTGAGCAGTGATGGTTCTGCTGTGGTGTTCAACATTGAACATGAAAATGAGGAGGATTAGATCACAGATTTCTCATACAAAGGTCAGTTAAAGTAATTAAAGTGGGTTTTTAGTAGCTGTCAAATGGTGTGTTCTGTATGCTAACGGGAACCACACAATCTTTTCTAAACCTCCCCTCGGTGTCAGCATCTCTCCTATGGAGTGAAGACAAAGACAGCAGTAAGTCATAGGGGTTTCAAGTAGGCTATCGGGGGTAAGAGAAAATAATTAATTCCTGTGAAGAAAATGAAGTATTTCTGTTGGCTTTCTATTACCTTATTGTAGCTATCATTGCTAGATTATTTTTAGTCATCTCTTGTTAGCTCCCAGGGTAGCAGATGATAATGTGAATTTTGTTGTGCTGAATAATGTGAGTCAGACATGGGATTAAAGCAAATTTTTTCTTATTGGAATAAAATTTATAGATGCCTTGTTCACGATGAGCACATCTTCAGCCTTGATGAAAACCAAATGTTGTTCCAGATGAATAGAAATATGGAACTGGTATTTTTGACTGCTCTACTTTTTAAAGAAAAAAAAAAATATATAAAAAGTGCTGTACTTGTGAATGCTAATCTGGCCCTGGTGTACCTGAAAATTATCTGTGTTTTCATGTGCAGCTGTTATTCAAAACTGTAAAATCCAAATAGAGTAGATGGAAAAAAAAATCCAAGAAGAATCCATACCCCAGTAATGCTTTTGCCTTAGTCCATTAGTTGTGTGTCTGCAGCAGTGGTGCGTAAGTGGTGCTTGTTTTCAGTTATGAGGTGTTTTCCTTCAAGATTACATTTTCCTTATAACATACCTGTAGTGTGAAAACACAGGAGTAGAAAAAGCAAAGCATTTGAAAAGAGTAATCATTAATTGGAAGATTTGTTTGCTGATGGGATTTGTAATTTACTCTATAAGGAACCTGTTGACTCATGAAACAAAGAGGAAAGACAACAACCACAAAGAAATTCTGGGATGTTCTGGAGAAGTTTTGGAAAAAAATTGTCTTCCTTTTTGAACTGAAAGACAGCTGAGACTGAAGTTAGTTATACATGGTACTGTTAATTCTCTTAATCCTTACTTTACAAAGAATTGGTTACTGAACTGCTCCGAGTGCCAAATAGTTTGTAGTATAATTAGCTGCAATTTTCACCAGTCTAGATTTTTTCTTAATGTAAGAACAGATACTCAGTGCAGTACCAGAAAGCTTGGTTATTTTGAATGCATAGGTGAGAAATACACACCACAATTAGGTTTTGGGTTTTTTTCAATAAGAAGGTAATTTATCAAGTTACAAAAACCATATGAAAAGTTTTTAGTAGGTCTTTATACTCAACTGAGAAGGATTAATTTTGTCATTTGCAAGGTGGGCAGGGACTACACCCAGTGCCCTCATTTTCCCCAAATATGTGGAGTTTGCTTAATAAATTAACCTCTCAGTATGCCTCCCACATTAAACTGATTTTTCCTTTGTGTAAGACTGACATATTACTTTTCCTCTCCAGGAGGCAGATAAGTAACTGTATTAGTAATGGTGCCATTAAATACTTTGTGGACTGGAGACGGAGTTTAAGAAGCTACAGAGGTAAAGTTTGAAAAGAGTAGAGGAACTGAAACGGACACAAACTTCCATTTAAGTTTGTAAATTTTTGCATTTAAAAAAAAAATTAAAAAAAAACAACAACAACAACATAATTGTTTAGGAACAGATTCCAAGCTGAAGACATAAGTTTATTGAATGTCTGAGAGATTTGCATTTAAATACAGTTAAAAAAAACATAACTCACCAACACAACCTGAACAGTTTTCTATATAGAAGTCTCCAGTATTTGTATAACACAGTTTTCAAAAAGGAATATACAACACCTAAATATGAAGGTTATATTCCACGTAAAATAGGCACAATTAGATAATTACTTCATGAAGAGTTGTAACTCAAGTCGGAAGAATAAATTTCTAGGATGCAGTTTTATTAAAAGCTGGATTTCTATGTCAACTTTCCTAGAAGACCTGCTCAGACAAGAAAATAATTGTTTCTAGTAAACAAAATATCTAATCTATGACAATTAGCTGTGTCTTTTAACATAAAACACAAATCTGGACTATGGAAATTCCCTTGAGAATTACATAAGTAGCTGTACAATGTTTTTTAAAAGTCTGTTTTCCTCAAACTACATGTAGTTTTCCTAGTAAACTTAAGTGAGCTACCATCTAGCTACTAATGGGTTTAATAGATTTGTCAGCAAGTGTAGCAAGAGTACTGAAAGCAACTAATGTATTCAAATATACAAAGCAAGTAATGTATTCAAATTTCTTGCATTGTTTGCTTGCAGCAGGATTTGTTTGGTATGAGTTAGTTATGTGACAGGAAAGGGAAACTATAACGTTCTGAGAGATAGCTGTATACCAGCAGTTGAGTAGTTTCTGTTTAAAATTCCTGTGGAGAACAGAAATGGATAATACCACACTTCTATTAACAGCAGCTAGAATAGAATCTTTGCATTAATTCTTTTAAAGAGACTATAATTAACAGAAGGAAATAAAAGTATTTAAGTACCGAAACTGAGAAATAGCTCATATTCTTCATATTCAATAACAGTACTCAAGCTTTAAAAATCTGAGAATTCCTTAAAAATACAAATAAAAATCTGTTTAATAATTCTGGTATGGAGTTCTAGAAAACAGTCTGCTTTTTCTGATTTAACCTATTAAATATGGCCTACTTCTACTTCAGTTAAAAAGTATCAAACATCACTGAGCAGAACTTGAAGCATTCTGAGCTTTCAAAAGTGGCCACACTATTTTTATTTATTCCAAGCCTTACTGATGAACAGTACCACTAAACGTAACAAAATTAAAGCCATTTGCAGTTTACAATTAGTTACACATGTCACCTAACATATCCCTTTAAAAATGGATTCATTCCTATTCTCAATGAAAATTTAAAGAGATCTTTCTTGCCTGTCAGGCAAATCACTACTTGTGCAAATTTAAATACAGTACATTGACTTTAATGCAACAGTGGACAGATGGTGAAGAAAGAAGTGTTCAACAAGGATGTTGCACACTAAAACTTTTTCAGAGTGCAGAGTATGTCTACAATAAAGTGCTTTTCTTAACAAGTTATATTAATAATAGTATAGATGTTTACCTAGTTTTAAAGCTTAAATTCTTAGTAAATTCTTTAATCTCCCCGTACGTCCCCAATCCCGCAAGGCACATTCAAAACACAAGCAAAGCACTAACTGTGAAGGATTAAGCTACAATAAAAAAAATTAAGTGGTAGTAAACTACTGACTAGGTTTGTAAACAGTACCATCCCACTGAATCTTAAGGTTCATGCATTGCTGGAGTGAGTTCCTGTGGAAGCAGCTTCTGTCCTCCAGATATAACAATCAAGCCAGCTTTCTTGCTAATACTCTACTGAGCCTTAGTGTTTTGATGTGGATTCCCACTTTTTTCATCACTTGAACAGAAAGCATGTCACATTTGATACATTTAAACCTGTGGACTTGATTTACAGTTAACACAACTGATTACTGGCTGGTTTAGATGTATTTAGCTTTGGGGCTTCTTTAAATGCATGTGAAGTTCACCTCTGCTGTTCAACCTTACCATGAAGTTGTGCTCAGTACTCGAAAGCTTTTGGTTCTGTTAAAACACAGCTAGGCTGTTTTGTGGAGGCCACAACATTGGCTTGATAGTGACTGATTTGACAGAAGTAATCTGTACTTCTGCAGTTTCTGTAAGACTACAATGGCAGGTAGGATCAAACTGAGTAATTGCTTTCTTCAGATGCATTTAAGACCAACTTTCAGAAGCCTCATTAGAAAAGAAGTTGTGAACAAAGTACGGTCGCCACAAGTGATCTCTTGTATTAAAGACTGAAATGGGACTCGCCTCATCATGCTTCCACAAATTAAAAAGTAATTCCATTAACATCAGATGGAGCTTACAAAAACAGTCCAAGGTATACACAGTTAAACACTGCCTTCATACCACAGAAGATGATGCTCTATGAGCAAGAGGCATTCCATTCCTTTTCCGAAAAAGATCACATTGAGTTAATTTTGTGTTTCTCAACTCTTGCAACAGAGCAAACAAAACCAGAAGCAGCAACACCAGAGCTCGAAGTTTTCCTCGTTTGTCATTCTAGTTTAGCGTTTTATCACCACCTGCTCATAAGCTCCAGATCCTACTCTGAAAGTTTGAAAGAAATTAGTTCAATGTCAGTTTAAATGGAAGCTAAAACAGCAAATGTCACAGAGCAGTAATTTTATTGTTTAATCAACCCAACCAACCAATACCCTGCCAAAAAACCCCCAACAACTCCCCCAGCCAGACAGCTAAATGTGAAGGGTGATTATTAGCATATCTCTGAGTCACCAACAGTTTAATGCATTAAAGTAATTTTTGTTACACCAAAGCCAAAATAGAGAATGAAAAGTAATGTTACTGAAAAAGAAGTTACTGTTGGACTTCTCTATAGCATCTTAAACATGACCTTTAGGATACCCCTCCCCACAGCTATATCATATGCAGCTAATTGCTTGCATGTATCAAATGCAATTATTTTATCACTTTCAATGCATTACTAGCTGCCTTTATACCTAACTTCAGAAAGAATTGCTGAAATGCTAATGCTGTGCTAAATCCTTGAGATAAAAATGTTGAGTTACGTTGGACTGTAGAAACATGATATTAGAGCATATTCTTACCTGTTTTTCGTGCTTCTAAAAAATGAGAAGATTAATACATTCAGGTCAAGTCATATATTAGAGTATTTGAAGAGGATTTAGAGAACAGAAAAAAATGTCTCTTGTTCTGAAAAAACTACAAGAAGATAATCTGAAGCAGATTATCAAAGGAGAGAGTATAGGGCTGCAAATAGTTGAAAGAGGAACAAACCATTGAAACAAACAATGAAACAGATGGAAACAGGATTTGTGAGAAAAACTAAACTGAAGAAAATTAGGCTTGTTATCAGGAAGACGTACAAGCTTGAAACTGTAAAGGTAGATGTGTAAAACATTTATAACTTCTTTTCCACTCCAGTGGAAAGGCTATAGAGCTAAGATTTGAAACTGGTGTCTGTTTCCTGTGGTGATACTGAAACATTGCTCATATCTGACAACTTTGGAACTGAGGCTCTTCAGGAGCTCTCGAAGTTACAACTCTTATGGCTGACACATCAGTTCTGTTTTGGAACTGACCTGTGTGTTCTGTTTTAAAAGCTGACAGTCTAGTTTTTTTGGTCCTTTTAAGGGATGCAAAATAAAAAGACATAAAGATCAAGAATATAGATAAAGAGTAGTTGCTGTATAAGATGCATTTTTATTTAGTATTGTCTGTGGGTTACCTGTTTAGATTACATACCTGTTAGGTAGATGATGGCTTCCAAAAGAAGTGCTTCCACCAGGGCCCACAAATAATCTTAAACCTTCTTCTAAAAGGCAAGTGAATTAAAATATGTTAGCTATATGTTGCCCTAGCTAAAAATAAGCAATTTTGAATATACTAGCTTTGTGGCTGATACTTTCAGATGCAAATATTTTAATTAATGAAGAACCAACCTTCACATGGTGTAGGTTGGAGGAACTACTTTTGTTGTAGATTTGCACCTGCTCTTTTATTAGTAATTATCTGGGAAAGTTCCCTGAGTCATGTAAAGGTTTTTTAACTTTTGGGAGACAGGGTGAAGCAGAAAATGTAGTGATCCATGGGCACAGTCCTTACAATTACAAGCAACAGGGACTATGAAGAGAGTGGATTTTCCCAAGGCCTGTAA